ACTCGTCACCTTGCAGATTGCAATGTACTTCACAAAGTTTTTGGTACCCAATACTCGCAACATTAAATAATTAAACAAGATATCTTTTTAAAATGTCATTTTACTCTTGGTCATATTATTTTATTCCCCTTACCGCCTTGAATTTTAAATCGATTACATATCGAACTTCTGTACATGTTTTTTTTTTTTACTCTACTGCCTTTCCGTGTAAAAATAATGAGGTCATACTCATGTCGCAATACTTTGAAGCTGATGCCATGTTGATGCCATGAGACTGCGAAGCTGAGGCCACGATGATGCCACAGAATAAGCGAGGCGAACACAGCTTCAATTGTCAATGACGCGAAGCTGATGCCACAATGATGCGATGCTGAGGCGACAATGATGCCACAATGATGCGATGCTGAGGCGACAATGAAGCCATGCGTAGGCGACAATGATGCCACAAAAGCCAAAGCTTCCGCGAGAAATGTACTGTACTTTGAACAAGTTTTGTTATTTTTTTAAATCCACAGATGACATAATTTGTCTACAACCTTGTCAGTGTTGACAAAAGAAGCAACTGAATGACTGTTTACTACATGAATCTTATTAACAACATTGCTACGAAAAACAATGTAATATTTTCTATCTCACCCCACCCCTAATTCAAACTGTAAACCTCAGCATCCCCTCCCACTCAATTGTCCATGCACTCTAAATAAATAGAGGTGTCCTTAGAAGGGACGTATATAATTAAATAAGGGAATACTGGAGGGTAGTGCAAGGGTTGCGTTAACACAGAATTCTGCGTCCAGGAAGCATAGTTTTTCTGTGGGACGCATGAATTTTTCAACTGGTGAGTCCCTGGGACGCATTCGGTGTGTGCATTTGGAATGCTATTGTCCCGCATACACTGGCAGTTGGACCACCCAGGACGAAAGAAACTATTGAAGGAGCTAATCTAAAATTTTATTTTTTTCTTGCTGAATTAAAAAGTACATTAACGAACCTGGTACACCAAATACAATTTTTTTTAATTTTTTTGGTAACAAATTATATATTAATAAAAAACAAACACAACTGCATTGCCTAGCAGCAAATGATCACGGTTGTGCAATACAGTCATGCTGCATTTCACAATTGTTGATTATTACTATGTAGTGATTAAAATAACGTACAAAAAATAAATTCGCTGAGAAATGCAAATGCAACTTTAACAGTTTCATTGTAAGCAAATAATTCCGGTCACATATGAATGCTCGATGCTATGGCGTATCTGTCAAGTTCTTTCTCATGCATGAGTTGACCTAATAATTCAAATCGCTAATTAACCAATCAAAATACTGGATAATACCAAAGTGTTCAAATTACCATAGTCATTTAAATATGTTAATGTTATTGAATGGAACGCAAAAGAGATGCTTGGATTTTGATGGGAAAACTGCATGGATTTTTTTTTATATCAAAATATAGTTGATTTCAAAAGATAAACTCGAAACGAAACGAAGCGTACACACTCATGCTAGTCGCAAAAAACAAACTCTTCAATAAAAACTTAAACTTTATTTTAGGCGTTAGGAATGATTGGAATATCTGAAAAATGACGCCAAAAATATTTAGAAAAATCACCCTGGGCGATATTTTTTTAAAACCGAAACTGCTGGTTAACGGCCCTGGGCAAATTTACTGCAGAATCCGGTACTAATATGTACCAATTTTTGGTGTATTGTTTTCTGGAGACAAATTACTACTCAGTTATATAACACAAGTGGGTATAGGGAAAAAAAATCACTTTTCCCAAAGCCAAGGATTGATTTGTTATTTGCAAGATCGCCTTCCTGGCGGGTTCCATGTGAAGGTGCCTATTCTTGTCAGAATCGTATTAAATCTAAGTTGAGGAAGAATTCACTTGAGGGTAAACCCAGTAATGATTTAAAATTTTTACAAACAGCATTATATTTTAATATCAGCAAAAATAGAAGAAAACCATATAATTAATGCTGATTGTTGACATGTAAAGGGTGGAATAAACATGTAAATAAAGTACAACTTAAATGTGATTAATGCCTGCTCATATTTATTGTGTGATAGTGCATGCAAAAAACTATTTTGGAAAAATAAAGTGCGGTAGCAGCAGGGACTCCACATATTTTTAAGGGACCCACACATTTTATAAGGGGTGGGTCCCAGGGACTCCACATTATCAAGCACTAATGGTAGTGGATAGAGTTAGTGTGTGGTGGGGGGGGGGGAGGCTTGAGGTAAAAAAAAAAGAACTTTTTCCACATGACGAATACCACATTTTAGAGACAAAAACAATATGCTGATTTATGCAAATTTATGTAAATGATGTTTGAGCACATTGGTGGATATGCATTCACATGGTTACGTGAGGATATTGAAGTATCACCTACACATGGTACACTAACTGTTCAGTGGATGTTTCCCAAAGTGAACTCACTTTTGCCGTAGTCATGTGTATGCATGTACATCACTGTAATATCTATTAGAAACTGTGGCTTCTATTAAAATGGTACAATGCAACAGAGGGGATGTGGCTTCTATTAGGGCATCTACACATATGAGAAATGGTAAATGTTAGGTTCTAAATTGTTCAAAAAGAATGGGTGCAACTTACATTAGAGATGCGGCTTCTAATACAGATTTTACGATATTATTTTATTTTTTTTAATGACAACCTTGGATATGCGTATTTAAAGCATGCAATCATCAGACCCAATAATTCCAAGTTATCTTTGACAGGCTGGGGAAAATCCTCTGCTTTTTTTTGTATTGCAAAATTACTGCATTTTTGTTGGCACACATGGAGGAGGCTTCAACAGAATTAAAGCTAAATATAAGTTTGCATGCTTCTACGCTGCAATGCGAAACATCTGCAACTTCAGTTAAATCTATACAAGATTGTGCACCCCTAAGAAGTTTTTGAGCAATTGAGAATCAAAAATCATTTCTCATATGTGTAGATGCTTTAATAGAAACTGCATCCCCTGAGTTGCATTGTATCATTCATTTTAATAGAAGCCATGGTTTCTAATACAGATTTTACAGTAATATTATAATTGTGTTTACCACAGTTGTGTTGAATTGCTCACTAAGTCAAAAACTACATCAAAAATTTATTTAATTTTTTTTTTTTTTTTTTTTTTTAGAGATGACTAGCATTTGATGGTGGTGGAATGAAGGGTAATATTCAAAATGTACATTTTTGTACGTCATCTACTTTTACAATTTAGTGAAAACCAAAGTATTTTTGAGACTTGCTGTAATAAACAGGCTTGATTTAAGCTGAATACCAGAATTTGAATATTTGATGTTATGAAACATGCACCAATTTCCTCCCTAGGATTTTTAGTCCTCCACAAAATACTCTAAGTGATCAAATACTTTATGCCTCTTTCGTTTAAGGTTTGTTTACAATTCTCGAAGTGATCAAATAAACAGATTTGACAGCTTACCATTACCGTGTGTTCCCACATGGCTCAATATGTATGGGTCAACATACCTATGTGTGTGTCCTCGATGTGTTCAATGAGCTCACCCAGGGTAGCAAACGTCAGACCACATCCTCCAAATCTACAAGTATTACTGTAGAACGCAGCCATCGCGACAGAGATCACCAAGAACGACAGAGCAGTCAAGCGATCAACTTGTCAGTTTCATTTCCGGGTTTTCAGTTATTGCAATTCCCGCCATGTACGTCACACAATAATACAACCCATTGGATTTAATATTACGACCCTACAAGTGAAGAAAAATATATAATTTAAACGCCGGAGCATGATATCCATCCTAATGTGTATTCCTAAGGGCTTCGTTGCGGGTAATGTTGACGGTGGGGAAACCAGACATGGGAATGGCATCGTCGTGTTGTGGTAAGACAATAAACAACGCACGCTGGACGAGACAAAAGTCACCAACATGCTGACCACTACGATGGAAGATTAAACAAAAAAAACTTAATTACCTAACGGGAATATGTGAACGAGCCGCACTGATTATGTCCGAATGATGTTGATCAGGGCTGAAACGGTTCTCGATATCAGAATGATCGACCAGCTTCCTTCGGAAATTCGTCGATCAGTCAGCCAGCTGCAGCAGCAGTGATCACTCGGCTCCGATAGGGGGACTAGCAATTGATGAATACGCCGACCCCTCTAGATCAAACTAGGTTTGAGTCACAACGCATGCGCATTTATCGTTCTTGGCGATCTACGTGCAGTTTGGGACTCCCATAGGTAGGTGTTGGACGTGTTCAATCTTTCTCAATCGACCTAATTGAAATGCCATCTGAAATTTATTTTAACAAATTCATACAGAAACAATATAGCTGAAACACACAAGCTCTTTATTTCGCTGATTCTAGTATTTTTTCCTGATATTTTTTACCTTATTTCCCATCCAACTTACCGGCATCCGCCATTTTGATTTATAACTACAGAAGTTACACTTGCAGATATTTTCCAACTTGAGTGAAGTTACTGCCTCTCATAAACAAAATGTATATCTGCTCAAGGCTCGTCTGTTCACCAGTCTCACAGGCTGTGGTAAGTATTTCCCATTTCATCTCGTAGTATGCTATGTATTATCGGTCGCCTCGACTCTCACCTACAAAGTGCCGGGTCAAACGAAATCGTGCCAACGTAAACGAGCTTTGCACGATTTCCCCAGTCAAGGATACAGTGCGTTTATCACTTGTACTGCACATTTCGGACATAATTGTATATTCTTGCATTATGGCTTTATATTTAATGGTACATGTATCGCTTTGATTGACGATTTAGTTTGTTCAGCGTGATTTCTACATTTATGTGAAGTACATGTTTGTCGGCTGCACGGAGTTGAACTTTGAACTTTTCACCGCGGTATCGAAGCCGGCTAAAGAGTATTAGACACGTTAAATAAACAAAAAAGTCATCATTAATCCCTTGTTAACTATAAAATGATTATAGTTAGGTGAAAATTTAATTGACCATTCAGGTGTTGTGCCTGGAGCAAGGCAGTATTTCCATTGCATGTTGTAATATACGGTTTTAAACTATTTGATAGTTTCAGTAGTGTAATAATAGTTATTTCAGAGTTGATCTAGATTCAATCCTAAAACCCTAAAAATGTGGTGAACTTGATGTCAAGAAGTCTTCAAAAATCTTGTTTTAAAATGCTCGTCGATCTTGACATTCAAATAACATTGGTAAAATCAAATGATTTACAAATTTCCTTGACCTAAGAAAAACATTATTCGAAGTGAGGATTTCAAAAGTTATCAATGTTTATTGCATAATTGTGCTTGACAAAAAAAAGCTTGCATTTTTCTGGCGTATTGTTTGCATGTGGTGTACAGGTATCAGTTTACTGCACGACTTGATATAGTCTCGTGTGTCAAGTCAGTAATGACTAGTGTAAGAAAGGAGTATCAGAGTTGGCTGCAGTTCTGTTTTCTTGGTTTTGCTGTAGTCAGTTTTTAATTGTCGGTAAGGTTATTTTTGTTTGCCATGTGGTGATTGCTAAACTCCAGGGAGCTTACAAGACTTGAGCAAGTTAGCATACCTGGGCAACTGGAATTTGCTCAGAGAATTGCACTATTTATTTTGCACACACAATTGTCTAAATTCAACGTTTAAAAATTCTTTTCTGTATCCTGTGAAATTGTCCATGCACTCGTGGAAACAAGTGAAGACTACTAGTGGTTTCAGCAAGATGGATGCAAACTCTGATATTTTGTCGTGCACAACTTTACACTGTTTCCATGGTGATTGATGATTCTGATGCGATGCAACATTATTTCAATTCGTCCATTTTGAAGGGATTTATATAGCATAGCTATCCTAATCACTTGCATTGCCTTGTCCAGGAGAGCCATTTTTGTCTTTCCTCTGGCCAATTTCAAGACGAGTCCTGGTTATAGTTTTGCTATACTGTGCTTTTAAATCTAGCTGCATATTCCAGTACTTGGGGACCCCTCCCTCTCCCAATAGGAAATCCTGATCAGTCTTGTAAAACACTCATCAATTTCATAAATTTTAGGAAAACAGTTCTTTATTCTATGCAAGTTAATTAATATCTGATTGTTTGTATATTTAGCTTTTCAGGAGTTCTAGAGGTCTTCTCCGGCCAATCAGTGGAACTATTGTGAACAAAGGAAACGAACACAGCACGTAAGTAAAGTTTACAAAATTTTCATCTCTAG